GTCTATTTTTAGCTTGTTCTGCGGGTTTGTTAAGACACAAGTTGCTGTCACTATGAATAGAGGGGGGTGCACAGCGAACTAGAGGTTTGTTATGATCCCCATCATACCCTGTTTAAAGAGGAGAGCACCCCAGTGTGGCGAACACTAGTGACACCTGGCTACTGCGCATGTATCGCATTGATTGCAGCACTGAGTGTAAAATTCCTCCAGTCATCTGTGTACACAACACACAAAGCTCTGCTGCCTTTGAAAACCAGCATGTGTGTGGTTTGCAAGCTTATGTTCTTGTAGATTTATTCTCGCATACTACTTAGCAGAAATCTTTATTGTTACCATGATTTACCATAGTTATTGAAAATCTATCTGGCATGGTGATGTTAATCATTTTGATATTTTGGGCATCACCCAATAAGTGTCCACTTGTCTAAACAAAAGTGTCAGGTCCAAAATCTACTGTCAGCCTTGTCAATCTGTTAAAAAGTCTTTATTAACAATAATAAAAAAAGTCTTTATTGTTTTTACAATTTAAAAAAAAAATAAAAGTTTAGATTTGTTCAAATTAAATAATTTAATATTTCTTTATTTATAAATTAAAAATAAATATTAACTAATACTTTGTGTATCATTTATATAAAATGTTTACAAAAAAAATAAATAACATTTTGGATGCTTTTGGATCCGAAATGATTGACTTGGTCTCTTGAGAGCAGAGTATGGATTCCCAGAAGTCTCTATTTTGTAAATATGGGCCTTGGAAAAAGCTAAATGAGTTTATTGTGCTTTGGCTACAGTCGGTAGTTCTGGTGTGGATAAACAACCATGCATGTCACTTCTGCATGCTGCATCTTACTCTGTGAGATAAAGTGTCACTCTTTTCATAGCTTTTGCCGGCTCTGAGACACTTGCATGTTATTTCTCCTGCTCTTTTTCTAGCAAAAACTCACTCATCACTAAATGAAAGCTTAAAGTGAAGACCTGATTATTTCAGCTGCCTTTTCACAAGTCCATTGTTTTTGAATTTCTGTGTTACTTTGGCTATATTTTCACACTTAAAACAATAATTTGGTATTCCTCTTGTACCATTGTCCTCTATTATGCTAAGAAATAAATCTCCTGACAGTTCTCTCTCAAGTGGTTTCATTGTTGTCAGCATTAAGTCTGAGTATGATTCAGTGGGCCATATAACTTAATTATCAAGAAATGACTTACCTTTAACAGCTTTGGTTCAACATACTTACCTTTTGATCAATACTTGCCTTAACCTTACACCAGAATTTTTTGTTTTGTTTTATTTAGTAACTTTCAGGAGGGTGTACTCATTTTTGCAACACAACATTTTATCACTTTGATAAGAAAATGGTATTTTCTTGAATAATTTTAACATTCTTCTTTGGTAACTGATCAAGCAGACTTGCTGGAATATTATATCTCTAAAAAAACCATAACATGTTTTCTAAGCAAAGAGTAATTGCTGAATTTGTTAAGTTTCAGAGGGGGTGTACTCATTTATGCTGTGCACTGTACACAGTGGGGAAAATATTTATTTGATCCCCTGCTGATTTTGTAAGTTTGCCCACTTACAAAACAATGAAAGGTCTGTCATTTTTATGGTAGGTTTATTTTAAAGGGGTCATATGATGCGATTTCAATTTTTCCTTTCTCTTTGGAGTGTTACAAGCTCTTGGTGCATAAAGAAGATCTGTAAAGTTGCAAAGACTAAAGTCTCAAATCCAAAGAGATATTCTTTATAAAAGTTAAAAAAGACATATTATGCCCCTTTTTACAATATGTAATATAAGTCTCTGGTGTCCCCAGAATGTGTCTGTGAAGTTTCAGCTCAAAATAC